AGAGCGGCTCCTATCACAAGCAGCATTTCAAGGTAACGTTCTCATAACCCTCCTAAGTAGGGTGCTTCTGTGTGTATGTTGTTACCTTGAAATCTTTTTCCCAAACAGTGTCAGTGGGGAAGCAGAAGAAGAAAATGCTCAACACAGCAAAAATGGGTGGCACAGAAAGCCAGAGGCAGATGGGGACCCAGATCTCAAACCAGGGTGCCTGCCATCACCAAGCCTCCCAAGCCATATCATTTTTTTCCTTTTATTAAGGACAATACAACACCCCAAATATGCCTCAGCTTCTCAAAATGTAGGTTTGTCCTTCAACCTTATCAAAAATATTCCCATTTGTGATTTACCTGTGAAACTTACACTGAGTACTATCTGAGAACAGTTTTCTTTCTGCTGACACTATTAAAAATGCTGTACAGAACACTGAGAGGTGACATTTGAAGCTACAGAACCTCTGCTAGTGCAGGGGAAGTGACATGAGAGGCACACAGTCACCTGGGAGCACGCAGGCCTGATCTGCACAGGAGCATAAGCCCCTCTCGCTGCAGCCCACTCCAACCTGCCCCTGGGATCCCTGCACATTCTGGTTGTCACTCTTGAGCAGAGCACTGTCTTCCAACCTCTCATGGAATGAGGTCAGAGCCTGACTGTGGACATTTAACCTCACATTATAGTTCCTAGATGGGATAAAACTTCTGCAACCAGGAAGGTTATTTGAGCAAAGTAAAGTGTCCTAGGGCTGCCCCATGAACTTGGACAGCGGCAACCACCTTGCCTTGCACCTGTGCCCTTTAGACCTCAGAGTTTCCAACTGTGAATGGTCACTGAAATCTTTTTAAAGATTCTTTTGGGGTATAAATGTTATAGTATGTGACACAGACCATACCCTGGGTTATGTACCTCATTGCTATATCATAATTGTATGGTTTGCAAAGATTATACATCATAAGTTAAACATTGAGTCAATTTATGTGCAAATCTTAAGTGTGCAATAGAGTAAGAATTGTTGTCAGTTAAAAAATTCTAATTTTCCTTAGAACAAGTACATTTTACTCACTCATTTTGAA